TTGTATTCAAACAGCATTACATGCCGAATGTGTGTCTCATCGTGTGCCATCACTATAAGGGATTAGAGTATACTAATCTTTACACATTATATAGGCTACACTAATGTGACGTTTAGGTAGTTCGTTTAACTACTATACGTAATGTACGTATTTTTGGAGGTGGTTAATGAAAGTGTTCCAAAATGCGACATTAATTCATTGAGGACCTAATATCATTATGGTCACCAGTATTTCATTAATACCCAACCCATTATCAAGTGTGGGTGTGCATGATGCTCAGCTTTGGGTCCAATATTATAGCTGTGAATACTTTTAATGTTTTTATTGTAGTTTACATGACAAAATGGTATGTAAATGATATAGGCTATGCTATGCTAAACTATACTATTAATATCTTATTAGTACATATAAGATATTTAAACAAATGTATTTTTAACTATGTCTTTCTCTTTGGATTTTAGAGAATGACATTGAGAACCAAGTGGAAGAACTAGTTCTTGAGTCAGACCAAAGAGAGGTTACGATCCGGGACTTGCAACCAATGACTCGCTATCACTTCATTTTATTTGCTGAGAATGATCTTGGAAGGAGTCAACCAAGTGAAGTTGTTTCCGCTTCAACAGAGGAAGAGGGTATAATAAGATATTTGTATCACAAAACAATTAATTTATTTGCAGTTCCTTTCACTTTAGGCCTTAATATTGAAAACGTGTAATATATTGAAACAACAACATGACATAGCTAACTAAATTTGTTTTAGTTGTTTTAAAAAATATGGACATTTTTCAGCACCAAAAGACCCTCCAGAAAATGTTGAAGCTGTAGCAACAAGTTCCCACAGTCTACGGGTGTCATGGAAGGTAATAAATATTATGGTTCATCAAATATCATTAAGTGCTTATCACATGCCCTATAAAAATAAAGTCTATCTTTGCTTGTAATACAGGTATTTCATTATGAGTTACATATATATATATATATTAAAACATTTATATACATGAAAGCATATTGACATCTGTTTTGACCTATATATCGTACTTCTAATTTTGTTATTTTCTGTAACTCCTACGAAAAGTATTCAATGCAAATTATAGCTATTGTTATTGCTAAACCAACTTTAAATAGTGACTTCTAATTTTATAGTGCTTTGATGCGCTCTAGCTACTACAGAAATGTCAGTGAATCTTTGACAGAACGTCTAATGGGCAGTTAGTTATGGTAATCATAATGCTAGCTAAGATAAAAAAACGTAGAAATCAGCAATTAATATGTTATAGTAAATAATAGTTATAAGAAATTTAAACAAAAGTCTTATTATGGAACAAATTTTGCATTAGGTTAGATTATTTGTCATTGATATTATTTTATCAAACAACTTAAGTAATAAAATGATCATACCTAAGCAATATTATGTTTATGCAAATACATTTTAAGAGGAAATCAGATAGTAAGTCTTTGGTATTCACCTCGACCAATTTCAAACATTTACGTTACGTGGTGAATATCTTTAACCCCTTCAATGTGGCAGCAGAATGTATTCCCTGTGCAGATCGTTTTGTTGATTTTTAGTATTTTTCCAGCATTTGTTACATAGTTCCAAAGCCATTAAAATAGGCTACTTAAGATTTGTGACAGAATCCCTTGTTTTGTGATGTCAAACTCATTTCTCTTTATACAGCACCAAAATCACTCGTGTAAAAATTTAAGGGCTGCTGCTCTCAGTTACTAATTTTATTCATCCTGATATACTACTCTTTATGTGCATAAGTATTACAAACTTATTTTGAATGCATCAGTAGCTCCTTTGTTGCTTTAGGATTATATCTGGGGAAGTCTCTTATACAAGTTCTAGTTAATTATAGCTAAGCATCGACCTACAGCTGTAGAAGTAGTGCAATGATTATCAGAAAAGCTCAGAATTTATCACAAAATTTCAGTGAAAGCACATTATCCTGTTTAAAATGTTGCTATAATCATATGACATTGTCATGTGATCTACAAAGCGTATTCTATAATCACTAAAAAAACTTGAGAATTCGCCTGAGATTTTCTATAAACATATTCTTAAGGCAAATACATTTGGGCAGGGTGATAGATTCTACAGACATCGCACAAATAAATAGTATGCTGTAAGCCCTATAGAAAACAATGTGTGTAATGTCAGAAATAGTCATGTATTTCACCATTCCCTAACTAGTTTAGAATATGTCTTTGGTCAGGTATATTTAAGTAACTTTTCTAAATTTGCATGCAGGTGTTCTGCATTTATGGTATTCTCAGGCATATTGATTCACCTTAAGAATAATCAGGTAGATTCTGCAGAATAATAGGACATCCAATATAAAATGTATCTTAGGTTAAATCTGTATTATTCAGCCTCAACCGAGTTCAAAACAAAGAAAAAGATGTAAAATGTAAAACACAGTGGAACAGTTTGTATTCAAAACAAAAATAATCAAAGTACAAACAAATGTGTTTATGGCACCTTTACTGGAGAGAACTTTCAGTGAAGTAGAAGCGTATTTCTCTTAAGAATATCTAAATAATTGTTTCATATTCTTTACAGACTGAGAAAATGCTATGGCATTATACACAAGATAAAATAATGTTATTCTGCTCAGAGTGCATGTGCTACCCACATGATTGCTGCTCATTCCTATTGAAAAATAGGAGATTGTAATCTTAAGGTGTCACTTGACCTGTTGATGGAAAAATATCTGTCATACTATACATAGCAGGTTCCAGTTACACACGTTTTTCCCGCTGTGAGAAAGTGCATCTGATACCATAGACAAGTAACCCAGTCTAATAAGTAACTAGAGAAAAATAAACATAGCTACTTCCTTGAGTGGCATTCTATGTTAAAACTACATACAACATATATATATGAAAATTGTAATACATTTTTATTAAATAAGAGGATAGAAAACACATGGTATCTCTGCATATCATATTCTTTAACTTCAGGCATCCTCAATTTTAAAACTTAAAATCAGTAACAATATTACTGACCATATAAAACCAATATTTTAAAATTAAAATCACGCCATAGTACAAAAATAAAGTTAAATGTACTACAGCAACAACAGAGCATCAGAAGTCAACACTGACACTTCATGTTGACATTTGAGATTGCTGTAGTTTTCTCTTGAGTGGTTGGGTAGATGTTACCTCGGCCCTGGTGTGATTAATTGAAAAGTTTTCTTAACAGATGCGCAGTATCTTCAAATAATGCTCTACAGGTTAGTAATCATAGTTTATTTACTTCATAGCTCTTGGAGGATATCCTTAAAGACTTTACATTTTGAAAGCTTTTCTTGTGCCTAGATATGTGGTGATCCCATTGGATGTGTAAGCACTTGGGCTGCTTCTCTACTGGGTAAGTTTAGCTTAAGTGAGGCTGGAGTGGGCCCTGGTGTCAGCATCATCAGATGGGTAGTAGGCATTCTGGGTTCCATTGTCATGTTCGCTGAGAAAAGTATAATGGTCTTCCTTAGACCCTCTCCTGATCGCTTGAAGGTAATGGACTGATCAGCTTGGCTCGAGAGGTTTCAGGGCCAATTAGTTAGTGGCCTTGGTCAGATGCTTCAATTCAGGTGCATTAGGCAGCAGCACTTATTAATCCATGGGATATGATGAGATAAAGGTGAGGGTGGCCCGTGGTGTCTTTAAAACTTAAGGGCAGTTTTTCAAATCTTTGATGTACTAAAAATAAAGTTCTCATTGAAAGTGGTTTCTTACTTATTAGTAAGTCAAATCGAGATGGTCAGAAGGGTCAATAGAAAAAAATCAGGATTTGAAATCGAAGTTCAACCAAACTTTGATTGGTTAGAATTTCAGTGAGAAGTCTTCATTAATGTTTTAGTGTTGTGAATTTACAAGATATTTCAATATACACAATTGAAAATATTCAAGCATAGCCAAAAAACAATAACTATATCAATCTTACAGTTGTCAGTTTGCTACAAATAATTTCTCCTACTAAAGAATATTTCAGTTCGATGTAATCAAAATATCATTCATGAATGTCATAGAGAACACAAGGTGAAATTCCATTTTCTTCCACATGTAGTGTGAGTCTAGCTATTACTCTTTTCTCTCCTATAAAAATCTGCTACCTGCCGAATATTTCAGTATAAAACTGAAAAGTTTTCTAATCAAATGCACTGTATCTTCAAATAATGCTCTACAGGTTAGCAATCATAGTTTATTTATTTCATATCTCAGAGTCCTAACATCCAGATCAAATTATGTATTTCCATTCGTATATTACTTGACAGTTGTGTTTACATTGTAATTTATTCATGCATGCTATACAACACTAATGAATGTGCAATACCACACACACACATATATTTAGGCCCGGCATGGCCAGGTGGTTAGGGCACTGGACTCGCAATCTGTGGGTCGCGAGTTCGAATCCCCGTCACAACAAACATGCTCGCTCTTTCAGCCGTGGGGGCGTTATAATGTGAGGGTCAATCCCACTATTCGTTGGTAAAAGAGTAGCCCAAGAGTTGGCGGTGGGTGGTGATGACTAGCTGCCTTCCCTCTAGTCTTACACTACAAAATTAGGGATGGCTAGCGCAGATAGCCCTCGTGTAGATTTGCGCGAAATTCAAAACAAACAAACAAACATATATTTAATCGTACCTGTATATTGCCATATACATACATCTCAACATCACACATCAGCATACTTGTTGCCTTACACAGACTGCTTGGGCTCATACACTGTTACCATGGTAACTTACACAAGCTACTTCCACTACTTATGTTTTCAATGTGCTGCCATCTATGAGCCAATAAACCCACCATGATTTCTGGGCATAAAAAAATAACTAATCACCAGCAGAAATCAGCCAAACTAAGCTTTTTCAGCAAATGCTCATTTAGCCAGGATTAATATTGGTTCTACCACTATAGTATATATATCAATACACAATCAGACCAACCTAGACTAAATAAAACATTCCACAATAATAATATTTATTGTGCTAGATGGTCACCAACACTAGTAACCAAACTATCAAATTATTGTATTATAATAAGTGAGTTGATTCATCACAGAAAATTAAATACAGGAAAGTCCAGTAAAACAAAAAGTAATCCACTTAAATTCATAACAACCTGATTTGCATTCTGTGCTGATAAAAGCACAACTTCATCACTGCACATGGAAAAGTTATACCTACACTTTTAAATGTGTTGGAGAGAAGCTAGCGAGTACTGCACGGTTTGCTTTCCAGAAAATCTGCTACTACTCACCTTGATAGGGTGAGTAAATTTCAACATATAAAAATTACTCAATAGCTTAGAAAATAAGGGTTACAGCACTCTCTCAGCTAAATTATCAAACTCCAAGTGATCATCTTCATTCGTGCTAACTGTTTACGTTCTAGGCTTTGCATTTACTGTCACGAACCATTATAACTGTTTAATGACCGAACAACTATCACACAATATCTTGTATATATCTCTTGGTGAAACTACATTCAAATGCACAGAAACTAAGGGTCTCATAACACTTTTGGTCCCATTAGTCTTGCAATCACAAATCAAACTCACTTTGTAATAATCAAGTGGCAATCATATGGTTTATGCGTACATTTTACACTGAATTACTACTTAATACCCTGAAAAGCAAAAAATGGCACTAGTTTCAGTCATTAGTCTCAGAGTCAGAGTCTTTCCCAGTTTCTCATCTAGTGGTTTATCCAAGCTGTAACGATCCCAAGGTCAGCACCAACTACCAGAGCTATTTGTACCTCTTTGCTAATAACATTCTCATTGACTCACCTTTTACAGACAGAGAAGTACTTTTAGAATCTTCCATTTCCTTCTCTTCAGGTGAGTCAAGATAATACAAACAAGTATTTTCATCATTACCTAACTCATCTGTCTCGATTTCCGATTTCTGATCTAGATAGCTCCTAGAAACTTTCATCAGTAACATATGGATTCAACTTGTCAACATGTTCCACATGACTTATATGTCAATGGAAAAATGCTACTTCTCCTTCCTGAATGGCATGGAGCATCCACATTAGTTCTGTATCATTCAGTTATTCTTCCAAGAACTCCTGAAGCATTAGTTGTGGTATCCTTCCACTAGTGGAATCTTTTGACTTAATATTGTTGTAGCAGAAATAGTTTCTATTACAAAGTACCAGAGATGGGACATTCAATGAATTAGAAGGGTCTTTTATGTGGCAATACAATCTATCACCATTTTAATGTTGTTAGCCCAGACAATGTAATACAAGAAAGACCTATTCCTCTAATGCTGTGATCCAATCTGATCCAGATTCTGAAAGTTCATAAGCCACTTCAATTATATATATGATCCATCCAAATGATAATATTTCTATTATACAGGAAGTGTTGGAAATTTTCTGCAGAGACCACAACTGCAAGTAGTTCTTCTTTTCATGAATTATGTACATTCAGGAGCCATTAGAATATGACTAATATATTCGATAACATATTCTACTCCATTGTACAACTGCAGTAACACTGCCACAATTCCACTACTGTTGCCATTAGTATCCAACAAGAGCTCACAGCCATATTGTGGACACTCCAACGAAAGCATGCTTTACTGATAGGAATGTTTTCTCATGTTTGTTATTCCATTAGTTTTAGTGAGAGCAGATAATGGTTTGGCAGTCTGGAAGAAGTTGACCACAAAATGTGTGCAATATGATGTAAAACCACGAAAACTGTGAACTTCTCTTTATTCACAGGTTGAGTCCAGTCTCTTACCCTTGAAAGAAGTTCCATCTGTGTGAGCATTTCCTTGATTTTGTATCCACTGAAGTACCATTCTCAGGTTTTCACAGCAGCAGACTCAAATATGACTTCATTGATATAGGCCAGACATCTTTTCCATTACAGTTTATTCAATGTTATGCTCCATTAGCTTCTCAAAACTACCAGGCACATTACATAGCCAAACAGCATGATGTAAAACTTGTACAAACCATCTCTTGTCATTCAGTTCAACTTTTGAATAATTAAATATCAGGTCTAAAGTATGGAACAATCAGGCATCTTCTAATACATTCAGGTATTCATCTGTCTGTTGGTGTGGAAAGGCACCAATACAAATTACCATGTTTACCTGTCTGAAATTCACCCACAACCTTGGCATGCCCTTTTTCCTTACAATCACTACTTGTAACAATTACACACTCTGTAAAGGCTGTATGCTTCCATCCTTTAACATTCACCGTATCTTGGTAATTACTAGATCTCTAGTGTGTAACGAATTTGTTATTATATATTTATTTTAATATTGATGTTTGTTTAGATTAAATTTATATTTAGAAACATACACAG